ATTCAACAAAAACCATGTTATGCCTGTAAAACAGACACTTCTTGTCTTATAGGTGAAAAAGACACTAAACATGAGTTGGATGTGGTCTTTGGAACCATCTGTTTTGCAAATTGTGCTAACCCTGTTAACAAGGCGGTCTCAAGTTCTGTTAGGATCTTTGCATACAAATAAATGAAAAAAGTGTAGATACATATATGGATGAATACATGCTCAAATGCAGGATGTCAGCCACTGATAGGCTTTTGTATGATAAAAAGAGGAAGTTAAGCAGCATAGTTCCTCATGGGACCACAACAAACCTGGCTAGCAGAGTCTTGGTGTTTGACTGTGTACAACTGTTACGTAGATCTCATGGCCAACTCAAATTACAGGTCAACACATGATTGTAATTTAAATGAAACCTAGTTACTCTTTCAGTAACTTTGGATGCATTTGTGGAGAGGGTGTGGCTCAACACTTTCATATGGCTTTCTTGAAAATAACTGGCATTCTCCATTTGTAAGGAAGCTCATTATGGTTCTTTTGTTCAGTCGTGTAAGTAAAATTCTGGAGGATCATAAATACCTAATATAACAGTAGCCTTCAGGCATTCTTAACTGAAATTGTATTTTATTTTCCATCACCTGTGCATTTCCAGTGGAGTAAATGATCCTTAGGACAGATAAGCTGACTCTAAGACTTGCTGCTCTTGTCTCCTAAACACAGAGAGCCACAGTAACAAGTAGCATTGCATTTTTCACATCATCTTTCTGGAGTTGATTCGCTCTCATGGATGTACAGACAGTTGCAGAGTTTGTTGAGAAAATGGTCTGTTCCTAGAAAACTAGTTCCTATTCATTCCTAAATTATTTATATAACTTTTTTTCTTTTTTTTCCCCTGCGTGAAGCATTCATGTGAATTGCATTAAGCCTTAAGGTACCAAGCTGATGCCTTATATTTTCCTCCTCCCAGGAAAAGTGTGATAGTAGCAGTTTTGTTCAAATTAAGCACTGACTATTTCACCCATCTGAATCCAGTTTGTGATTTTCAGTGAATAATGTGTTGTCATTCTCTGCCTCTTACCCTGTTCTTTTCTCACAGCCTGGCTGTGCGATGTTGCATAGCTACCAATCTACAACCCAAAAGTTGTTATATTAGAGTGGAGAGTTGTGCTGCTCTCTGGGCAATATATAGAGGATATATATTTTATGAGATGCCAAGCAAGCTGCTGTATGACTATAAATTTCTGTGGGTTTTTCTCATGCTGTACACACCTGCTGATTACCAAAGTGATTTATGTTTTCAGCATATTTTCTCTTGTGTTGCTCGTTCTGCTTTTTTCAAGTTCTAAAACTAAAGTAATTTTAGTAATTAGCTATTTCAGGAAGCCTTGGAGAGGTGGAGATAGTCTTCTGGGCACTGTGCAGGTACAGAATGTGCTACAGCCTGGGGGTGGTTGGCTTTCCCCCTCTGTGCACAGAAATGTGGATCCCTCAGGTCAGGGAGAGGGATCCCCCTGGATCATGCCTGCTGGGGTAAAGACCAACTCACTTATTAATGCCTTCATTCAGCATCATGGAAAATAGTGGGAGGGAAGAGGATCATCCTGAGCCTGCAGCCATGTGGAAAGCCAGTCAGGTGAAGCCTCACTGCAACCTTGCAGCAGAATGAGCCCTCTTTTCTTTCCTGCCTTTGTGGTTGAAGGAGAGAAATAGAGGGTTGGAGAGGGAGTAATTGGTAGTACTTTCCTCAGGCAGCCATCTCCTATTGACCTTGAAGTAATGAAAAAGGGATAGAATCTTCTGCACGTTACCTCTGTGTGTACAGATAATGAGAGCAGAAAGTAATGACCATAAATCTACATGGCTGTGCCTGTTTGAAAGTCTGGGCCATGGGAAAAATGACAGAACATATTTTATTTTCAGTCTGTAATTCACATAAGTATTTGTTCCAGAGTGTTTCTTCTGAAGGGTTTTGGGTTTTTTTTGCCTTGTACTTCATTTTATGCGGCAATGGTTTTAATTCAAATAAATCTATTCCCTTTTGTTGACTTCAGTTTTCAACATGAAAATAGTTGTATTTCCCAAACCAGCAATAAACTGGTTTGATATTTGCAATTTTTTAGAATGTTTTTTATATAATTTCATTAGTTAATACAGTAGAGTAATACTGGTGTTGAACTGTACCTATGAAAGAAAAAAGCAAGTCCTAAATACAAAATACATATGTAGCATTTGTATTTAATAATAAAATTTAATAATAATAAAAAAAAAAAAAAAAAAGGAAAACTCTGCTAAATTAGCTACAGTTTAAAAAAAAATACAGCTTTGAATTTGGGAGTTTGCTTTCAGATGTTGAACTGCGATACACAAAGTAACCAGAAAGTTGTCTTTGGCAGTTTGTTCATTCCCCTCCCAGTGAGATGTAATTCATTAAGGCAGTTCCTTGTCAAACATTAACTCAGAAACTGGAAGGAATCTGAGACAGAAAATAATTAAGTAACCCTAATGATGTAGTAGTCCAACTACCCTGGCCAATGGATAAAGAGTAGTAGCAAGGTGTTTTAGTACTTAGCTACGATGCCAAGGCAATGTCAGCCAACAAATGATGTCATGCAGTCAGAGGCAGGGTTTGGTCAACGCAAACTAACAGTTTTGTCTTTTAATCTTACTACATACAATAACAAAACATCAGGAAGGACTATATTTAAAAACAGAGGAAATGTACTGAGCCACTAGAAGAGCTTGTTGTTGCATTGTTTTTCCTCTGAGCTAGATCTCAAGTGAGATGGTGGCCGCGCCAGTACTGAGCTCCTGAGGCGCCTTTCCCCTCCCTCAGTATGGGATTAACCTCTGGAACAGCAGCAGCATTTACTCTCTGGAGTAAATGGGACTGTGCTGGGGAGGTCTTATATTTTACTTGTATTCCCGTGGTGGAGTCATTACATGAGTGTTTGGACAAAGCTGAAGCATAAGGGAGATCCTGACCCCTTCACTGAATATGCAGCAGGTCAGGCTGAGAGAGTGAAACACACAGTATGACCCAGAGCGTGGGGGGCCTGTACGTCTGGCACTCTGGAGCAGCTAGGATGGTGGTCATAAGTTTTCCCTCTCTCCAGGCCAATTATCCTGTTAGGGCTTGCGTTTGGCCAGAGAAAACACTGTAGCTGAGCTCTGCTTGTTGGGGAATTAGGGAGGATAGAGGGAGGAGGTTGCCTGGCTTTGAGCTCTCTGCTGGAGAGCTGGAGGTGATGGCTGGCCACAGTGTCCTCTGGCTGTTCCTCTGGCCCAGCCTGGGGCCTGGTGGTGATCTGGCCATGTGATTTAGTTCATCAGCCAACCAACCCTGGCCACAAAAACATGTATTGACATCTGTGTGTTGAAAAAGGTTGGTTGCAGTGAGTGCCAGAGCCAGCTCCAAGGGGGGAAACATTCCAGAGGTTCCCAGGGTGAAACTTCCTTCTTCCAGCAAGCTGTTTCAGCTCACTCATGAAGACATACCCTAATCTGACCCTTTCTGTAGGTTACTGTGCTTGAAGTGTTACTGGTACTCAAGCCAGTATAATTCTTTTTTCTTCACAGCTGTGTTTGTAGGTTTCCTCCTGTGGTCAGGTTAACCACCAGACTTAATGAACTCTGCTGACTTACTCTGGTGAAAAGTTTGTTCCTCAAAATTTGGCAAATAAGTTTTAGTGCTTGAGGACTCACAGCCAACAAGCAGTCAAGCAAAGTTGAATTACAGGTTTGTTTTGAGAGATCCTAAGGTCTTTCATCAATTTAGGTATTAATGTAGGGCCTATTATAGGAGGGGCATTCTCCACTTTCTCCACTTAGGATGTTAAAATATCATAAGGGTTTAAGGAGTCATTTAGCCCAAAGGCTGTTTTTAGAATTCCTTGAATTAGTGGAAATGTAGTGAGATATTCAGGGTGTGAATCCAAAGTGACCCAAGTGTATCCAAACTGGTCCTGTTTTAAAACTGCCCCACGGGCACAGCCTTAACACTGTGCCAGTGGTGGCACTGGGAGTGGGGAAGCCCTTTCTGGATGAAGGGTCTGAAACAGAAGAAAATGAAGCAGATCAGAAAACAGCATTATTCTACCAAACCTGCTCTCCAGACATCTCCTTTGCAAGGGAGAAGCGAGAAGTCCAGGGGCAGGGAGTTGGGAAACAGAACTCTGATTTAAAGGGTCTTAAGCTGTTGTAGGGAACCTCAAGATTTCCACATTAGTCATGTGCCTTTAATTGCTGCTAAAAATGTCAATTTCCAGTAATAGTATAAGTAGCCTGAGCAGAGATGTAGTTAACTGTGTAATTTAACTCCATGAAACTATTGACATGTTTAAAAGTATGCAGATGCTAGTGTCTTATGCTAGATCAGGATCTTAATTATGCATAGTTTGAGATAATTAGGTTGCTTTAACTTCATATCTCAACCTGTTAATTCTAACTACTAAATTAGGATTCAGCTGTAATTCCTGTATGTTTAGTAGAATTATTTCAATTTTCTCCTGACATTAGGTAAGTGTTGTGATTAATTCTGCTTCTGTATTCTGGTTTTCTGTGGGAGAGGTCTGAGTTCAAATTATTACCACGTGGTGATAATAATATCACCAGGTAAATTCAGACAATTACGTCTTTGCCCTTTGCTGTGTGATTTTTTTTTTTTTTCAGGAGATATAAATGGATAAATGTTCTGGATAAATATTTTGAAGAACAAGCAAGTCCCAAAGGGTGTTCATTTAGTTATAGAAATTGTTCTTAGGTTGCTGTGCTAACCTGTATTTTGTGGCTTTTGATTTCTCTTTCTTGTCTTTTAGAAGCTCATACTTAAAAATCTTTTTAAAAGTACCAAGTTTGACTTTTTCACCAGAAACAAAAAATATGGTAAAGATCATATCTGTGGTCGAGCCTGTGTTGAACAATCCAACCTTTCTCTTAATCTAAGGTTCACATGTGAGGGTAGACAGATTATCTGCTTACAGGTGCAGGAATATAACTGAATGTCATTGTTTCCACAGATGAGCACCATGCCAGGACTGCCCACAAGGCCGTGCTTCTATGACATTGACCTTGACCCCATCACAGAGCAAGTGAAAGGATTGTTTTGAGAGTGACATCCAAATTCAGGTTGGTCAACAGACTGTATTTTCCTGTTCCAGCTTGGGGGAGGATGTTTGTGCCTAGTATGTGTGTAACAAAGGTTCTCAGGAGTTTATCTAGATTCAAGAAGGATTTCAGACACTTTGGGGGTGTATTTTGTAATGTGCAATTTACCACATGGGTTTCTCATTTGCTGAACGGTGACTGGCTCTTTGCTGTTCTCCACTAATGGTGCCTTTTGGATTTCCTGGCTCTGCCAGTTTGGCATCAGGAGGAGCGAGCTCTGCAACTGCACCGCTCTTGGCTGTGGACAAAGCCAGTCTGAAGAAACCAAGTCATCTTACTCACCTCAAAAGAAATACTCTTTGATACCACACTCACGTGGCAGTGTGTGTCTGTCATTACCTAGATATCACAGAAGATATTTCTCTGTTTGTTCATGAGCTCTGCTTTGTTTCTTCATGTTGTGTTTTCATAGCTGCTGTCATCTCTCTCAAATGGTAATAAGCATTTCAGGAACACAAAGCTGTCCTCTTAGCCTGTTTTTCATGCTGGATTCTCTCCCTTTTCCTCGAAGGTTGCTGTTCCCCCACCACCTCCTCCCTTTCTCTAAGTACTTAATCTTCTCGGTGTCCTGCTTTAATTTTGTGCAGCACATGTTCCTCACTTAAAAATACAAGATGTTATGAAAATATTTCATGCTACTCCATTTTAACCTTTTAACATAGTAAGTGGAGTAAGAGAGAATGTAACCCTGACTGAAACAAACCATGTGTGCCTGTCATGGGATTCTCTCCTTTCATCACTTAGTTCTCTCCCCCAACAGATTGGTCTGGACAGCAAAAAGGTTTTTCTTTTTTAAGACAGAACAACACTGTTACTATGAGCTAATAGGACTGTGATGGGATGCCAGATCAGCCACAGCTTTGAGGTGGATGTGCCCAGGTGCTTCAGCCCTGCTTTAGCAGTCCTTTCTTACTGTGGATTGAATGAAAGGGCTTTCATTTTCTATTTCTGTGTTTTGATGGATTGTTCAGAGGAGGGGAGGGGTTTGCACAGCCCAGCCAGACCAAGTGAACACACACTTGTGTTCACAAGTGAACACTTGCCCACACATTCACGTAAATGCCACAATATTCACGTAACATCTGGTGAGAGCAGATTCTGCCACTTCGTGTGTGCCAGTCAAGACAAGTAAAAAGCACCTAGCTTGAAAGTTAACCTACATGCACAGGTAATTACCTGTATGCAAGCCACATTCTGACTATTCTGTGGCTAGGTAGTGTTGCACATACCACTCCTTGGCATATATCCCATTTTTGTTACTGATACTCATGATATGTCTGACAGCTTCATGCATACATATTGATTCATCATGTGTCAGCCATGTAATTGCTTCTGAATCATTTGGAATGACTGTAGAATCCTAATGTAAAATCTCTGTGAAGATTCACATAATCTGCTTAATTGGGTGTTTACTGCCTAGTCTTACACAAATCCATCCAAACCAGGGACTGATGAGTTTGGAAGAACAACAGTAATTAAGCAGAGAAAATACTCCATTCCAACTGTGAAGGCCTTTCATTGGAAGCTGTGCATGAAATGGAAATGTTAAACTTGGCTTTTAGTCAGTGATGGTGTTTTGTCAGATGTAAAAAGAAATGCTAACGAAGTCACAAAAACATATTGTTAGGAAATAACATATATAACCAACTGCTAAAAATTATTTTAATGTCATTATGGAGGTATTGTTGGCATCTGATAATGAATGATTCATTAAGTTTAAGCCTTTTAAATAAACAAAGAGCTTGATTATATATTTTTTTCATCAGTATAAGCACATGTTCATCTGTGTTCCTACCTTTAACAATCTAAATAAATGCCATGAGAGTATGGTAATATCAAGTGAGCACCACACAAGACAGTCAAGTGTTCATTAGCTCTAAAATTTATCTGGTTCATGTGCTAGATTTGTACATTGCTAATTTTGGAAGAAGAGAGAAATAACATTCCCATGTAGTCTTCACTCCCAGCTTTTGTGAAGAAGTCTAGTAGTATCATCTGTTTTCACATATTCACTGAAGTGAACCCACACTGTAGGTGATACTATGCTTTGAGGTCTTTGTGGGTTTGTTTCTGTGATGTCAGATAAAGGTTGTTTTTTTTTTTTAATTTTATTTTAATTCTTTGGCATTTTAGTGTATGGTGTAATATTACTAATAATATGATGTTTTGCCAGCTCATTAGGGCTGATTCAGATCTCTAAGACATTTTAATTGAAAAATATTTAGAAATTTATGGAAGAGCTGACGATGTTTCACTATAAACATGCCTGCAGAGCTGAGAACAGTTGTTCTAGTGTGCAGTTAATATCTTCCTCTGCAATGCATATCTTCATCAGACCTGTGACAGAGATACAGGCAGAGGTTCCTCCTTCTCAGGATGCTGTGTGAGGCTCTGGCTGAGCTGAAACACTGGGTGTCATTTTTCACTCTGATTTTTCTCTACCATTTCACACCAGTCATTTGAACATGCTCTAAAAAGTCATAGAAGCAAAAACCTTATCATAAAAGTCAACTCTTTTTCTGTGTTGACAAATATCCAGTACTTGGACACAGAATATTGCAGTCTCTCTGCAGGAGCAATGTGATCTATCAAAAAATGAAACATTAAAAAATATACAAAAATGAAAAACCTGAAGGAATCTGGCTAGTCCTTCATCATTGGCCACTGTCCTATTTAAATTATACTGCCCAGCTCATACACTAAGAAAGTTAAAATTGTTTCCCTAGGAGCTGTCAGTAGAGAGCACCAGTCAGAGTAAGACTTACATGGAGATAAGTCTGCCAATAGGAAGAAATTTAAAAAAAAAAAGTTATATTTGCTCAGTGAGGGGAAGTCACAAACTGGACTTGCACAAGTAGAGTTTGTTTAAGGACCCTTGTGAGCTCTAAGGATCACTCTAATTTAATCAGTGGCAGTAGGTGCCTGCTCTTACTGTGCAGGCTTTGAGTGTCTGGGTTGATGGCAGCAGGGGGAAATTGTTCTCCTCAGTTGGTTGTGACTTCATAAGGCTGCCACTGTCCACATTGTCTGATGTATTCTCACAGTCTTCTCTTCAAAACTGGCAGAGCATCAGAATTATTTTAATACCCAGCATAAAAGATACTTTAGCTCTCAGAGCTTTTCTGAACTTGAGAGGAAACCCAGAGCTCTGCCTGTGAGCATCTTCATGGCCATGAAGAAGTCCATAAGAGCAGGAGGCCAAAACTGGTGTTCTGAAATTGCAAACTATTTGTTAGATGTTTTCATCTTAAATTATTCAGATATGAATAGAAGGACCTTTCCCTTACATCCACAAAACTGAGCCTATGAACAAAAGAATTACTTCTTTTAGTCTCATTCCACAGCATTAGCTTTCAGTCACCAGCAGTTACTGATGTACAGTGATGTGCTGTCTGAAGTCTGTATCATGTACGAGTACATGCATCTGTATGAGTACAGATTTTTGTTTTTCACCTAGAAGGGTTATACAGATTAAAAATAGGAGGTGTATATGGCATAATTATACATTTTTGTTTATTATGGTTAAGGCGAAAATATCCCATTTCACTGAAGCATTCATTTTAGATTGTGACAAGCTTTTTTTTTTTCCTTTAAAGAAAGCAAAGATATCTTGTTTCAATGTATAAATTTCTTATCTTTGTCATTTCAGAAGCCTGAAAATTAAGAACTGCAACTTTCCTGTTTCCTGCAAGTAGGAGACAAAAAGTGAATGTGAAATATTCCTGTTATTTGTCTCTGGAGGAATGTCAAGATAGACCAAAGAGCAAAAGTTTACTCTTTCTTCAAACTAGTTTTTATGATGAAATATAGCTGTAAGGTTAAAAAAACCAAAAAAAAACCAAACAAAAAAAAAAAACAACAAAAAAAACAAGCCAGTAAGCTAACGTTTTACTCGCTGTAACGCAGGAAGCTCTCTACTGGGGCTTAAGCTTGTTAGTGGATAAAATGACATTGAAAAAGAGCAGTTTTTCAACTCAGAGTTTTTGTCTTTTCTCAGAGGAGTGTACAGAAGTATTTCCTTTATCTTGGCTATCTACTAAAAACTTGCATAAACATGATTATGCTGTGTGACCAAGCCTATTTCTCTCTGAAAAGTACACTTTTGCTCCTGGCATTCAAGAGCTGAAACTACACACAGATTAACTGCACATTTTTGAGTTATCATCAAGCGTTGCTCTGGATGCGTTTGGGCAACAGCCAAGCTTCAAGCAAGGAAGATATTAAACAGAGAAAGAACAGAGCATGTATTTTGTAAAAGGTTTTTAATGTATAATTTGTTTCCTTGTTGGGCAAAGATCTTTTGAAACACTTAAGCCATAGCTGTCTTGTATGCATAGGTCTGTCTTTATCCGAAGCGTGTGTTACAGGCTGTCCAGCTGATTATGTGCTTGTTGTGGTGAAGCTGGTTGTTCAGACAGGGCACTGCTCCTTCTGAAGCGTTGTTTTGCTCCTGTTCATGGCTAATGAAGCCTCCTGCTGTGCTGGCTCCCGACCTAGAGTTTTTCCCTGGCAGTACACAAGGGCCCAGTAACAACAGAGGAACGTCCATCAAGCAGGGATGTGGACAGGGCACAGCTTTTTTCTGCTTCATTTTGCAGGTTTTAACGGCCACACTTGTAAAAGTGGAGGGCATTTCCATTTGAAGGAGTATTCAAACAAGTTGAATTGCAAACCATGTGCTTTAATTTGTCTCAGTAACTTTACTTTCCTGCTTTTTCCTAAAACCTGTACCAAAAAGCAAGCCTTAGGCACAGGATACAGCATTTAACTTTCCAAGCTGCTACCCCTCAGGAAACTCTCGCTGACTGACTGTTGGTTCCTTCAATAACAAAAAATTCGACAGAACAATAGGGTGAATCGAGACAATAGGCCATTGTTTTTTTTAGGTAAAAAGCAGTGAAATAATGATGAGAGAGTTTATTTTCCTGATGACGTTTTCCATCCTGTCGCTTTGCTCTGCTTACGCACATCTGCATGTTATGGGCTTTTGCAGTGTAGCCTTGGTTCCCTTCTGCAGAGCCACATTTGGAGACTTAATTATCTCAGGAACTCTGTAGTAATTGAGGGGTTTGTTTTGGTTCTTAAAATCAAGCTTTGTTATTTATAAACTCAAAATTATAATTATGGACAGTAGAGCAAACTGGGGACAATTAATTGTCTCTGCCTTCCCTGGAGTAGCACGGAAATATCTGCTGACTGCATTTCAGTGCTATTCATAGCGTTGTCCTCCAGCACCACAGGGATTGCTGTGAAGATAAATTTAAATGTAAAAACTAGAGCAATTTAATATTTTATCTGTACTAGACAACAGAGCTCTTAACAGCCTAGACTCTGGGTGCTTTAATTACACTGGGGCATGACAAACATGATGAGTAGAAAGTCAGATTCAAGCTCTCAGAGCTGCTGGGAAGAGAGATTTCTTATATTCGCTATTAAATTGTGCCACAAAATAGAACTCAATGTTATTCATATACAACAGTGTTGTAAATCAGTCTTGCACACACTCATCTATTTAGCCAAGAAATTTTTAGCCAAAATGTTTTGGAAGAAAGTAAGTGTGGTTTCAAAACATGGTTTTCCTAGTAGCTTCCTTACAAGAAAAATAAACAACATTTTTCCCCATTTTGTCCAGAGAAATTCAGAAAATACATAGTTGTGCCTTTCTAGGACTCACTGTGGTTCCCCTGCAGGTGCACTGGAGTTGTCCCCACGCAGTGTAGGATACTATATGTGGCACTGGCTGATTGCCTATGAAGCTTCTGTGAGGATGTGGATGTTTGAGCAACAAGCTTTACAAGTCATCTCAAGCTACTGTTTGATACTTTCTATAGTGTTGTCTCCATCTCATCCCTTCAGGGCACACATGCTGGGACCATTTATCTGACCCATCAGTCTCTCCCTAAAACACCATTCCAGCTCATTTAGTTGAGAGCTGACAAACATCCTGTAATTTTTCTACCTTTGTGTGCACAGGACTTGTTATATTGTTTAGATAGCTTCAGTAATTCAAAGAAAGCTGAAACGGCCCACTTGTCATTTGTCATTGCTTTTCCCCCACCCCATCTAGTTAACTAGCTCCAAAATTTCTCAAGCTATTGCATTTTTGGTCCTTTGTCATGATCCAAACGGATTGAGCTACTGGCCACCAGCTGAGCTGCAGAAACTGACACAGTATGTTCCCTGATTCTGAGGGACCACCCTGATTCTGAGGCCTTGCTCCAGAAGAGTTTAATGTGAAAACTTTTTAGGATCAGTCTTATTGGTGTATATGTGTCACTTGCTACATGGCCATGACTGTGGGACTCCTGTTTTTTTTCGCATCTACTCTGAGCAGCGTTGTCACATGGCAGAACCTCAGCTTTATTAAAGCAGCTTGCCAAGCTTATCCCTGCGTTTGCTGAAGTGTGTTTAGCACCATGCGGTTGTTTATAATCAGAAGATCTGCTTTCTGTAGTGACTGAATACTTTGTTATTGCTACTGCTGAACTAATTCTGCAATGGCATTGAAATACTTCAGAATACATGCAACAGGTTTCTTCATTTGTAGTTTGAAATTCAAGCTCCCAGAATTTCAGTTGCCATGAACATGAAAATAAAGTCTGTGTGCTAAGGTTTAGTTTGCACAAGTGGTGCCTGTCTGAATTCATTAATAAATACATCCATTATTTTATATTGTTCTCTCTCTCTCTCTATGATCTTGTCTACATAAATAGTGACTTTTTTTATTTTAAATTCCTCATAAGCCACTTAGTCTTTGTCATGCCCATGTCTCCAGTTAAATACAATTATGCCAAGGAAGGAGAGGAGCTCAGCCATACTGTGGTGAAGTGCCAGATGTGAGCAAAGCCTGGGACTCTTACCTGGCTTCCTAGAACCCAAGAAAGCGTTTGGTGCCTGGTTGTTGCCACAAAGGACCCTGCACTAGAGGGTTGTCCACAGTACAGTTCTTTTGAAGTTGGTTTGTGCTTGGGGAAGGGCACATTAGGCTAACATCCTGTTCTGGTCCCAAAATATATCTTGGTGTTACCTTTGGTCCTTGACATGAAGGGCTGGGTCAGATGCAAGGGTCAGATGGACATTTTCCACTTCTCAGCTGTCAGCTGGATTTGTGTGAAGCAGTGTCAGGTACAGGAATATTATCTGTGGGCTTCTCAAGGTGGGAATCAAACACAAGCAATGCAGAAGTTTCAGGAATTATGGGTGCTAAATCATTAGGCCATAATAGAGCAGAAAGCATCCCGGTAGCACGAATTAATGAAATGGGGGAGGTGGGGGAAGAAATAGAGCATTGCAGGCACATAGTGGACAGTGCTCCTGTTTTCTAAATAGCTAAATGAGGTCCTAGCCATGTGATTTGCATTAGTACTGGGTTTTTAATATGCTTCTCATGGCTAGATTTCCAAACAGCTTCTCAGCTTCTCTGCAATGTTTCAACCAGGATCTTACCCATATGGAACGGGTCTCAAGCAGTAGGTTTGTTCTTGGTGGCCCCTGGGTCTGCCCTGCTGACAGCCACCCAATCAGCCAGGAGTGAGTGTAGGAGGCATGTGCTAACTCTCCCCCCTCCACTGAATTAGTAGGGTGGTGAGGTAAGGTGTTACCCCTTAAAACATGCAGGTTTTTATAGAATTTTCTTCAGAGAAAATATTTTAGAGAAAAAATTAAAGGCCAAGGTATGACCCCCTGCTTCAGAGGGTTGTAATGGTAACACTAAAAGCCCCTTCAGACATTTGTTCTGAGAATAGGATTGCTGTGCTATACATGTTACCATTCACTGCAGATTTAAGGCCAGAGTGTTTACGTAAGGTAAGCTAAATTTAAATATTTTCACAAGTGTGGTCATAATAATAGTTCCCTACTCCATGTGGTTGTGCATGCAGCTTTTACCTAAAGTCTTCAATATTTTCTTCCCCAGTGAAATTTTTAACTTAAATCTTTTGTGTAATGATTGGGAGGAGCTAAACTGCTACATACCAGCAACTAGCTCAACTGAGCTAGACCCTGACTAACCTTTTTAAATCAGCTCTGCACTGGATGATCTCCAGGTCCCTTCCAAGGTAAACTGCTCTGTGCTCCTATGAGCTGAGATATTAGCAGAAAAACTTAGGACTGAGGAAGCCCAGAGCTGGAATACACCCCCCACACACGCCACAGGCACCTTAAGAACTTCACTTTGCAGAGTACTAATAAAAAAGAGGATGTATCAAATGCAAGTCATGCCCACTTCTATGCAATACACTAAATCAAGGTTTAAGTTATGACATTTTAAAAGCTAAATTGTTTCCCACTGGGCAATTTCCATCATGCTCTTTCAACTCAATTACCATCAACATCTGGTGAAAGTTACATTCTTAATGCCAAAGAAAAGTTTCAGCTTTTCGGGATACAGCCTGTTAGTTGCCCATATAGTGCAGCCCCTGCATGTTCTTATCACACACAGAGCTTATATGTCTCCTCCAGAAAAACACAATTATGGCTGTACTTGTATAAAACATGTATTATGTACATGACACGTAGCTACACCACTATATGAACTCCAGGATATTTCCTTCCATTTTCTTTTTTGAGGAAAGGCTGAAGGGAAGAACAGAGAGGAGGATGTCTGGGACAGCAGACCAGCCCCTACACAGCTTTCAGTCAAACAGAATCTCTGCAAGGACACAAAGTCCCTTTATTCACTGGTTCTGTGCTTGGGTGCTACACTATTCCCACACAGCTCCAGCTCATCTCAATCACCTTGGTGCCTCCCTTGCAGTCAGAAAAAGTTATATTTGCCAACCTGTTGGTTTTTTTCAAATGTTTGAGGTAAGTGAACTCTCCCTGAGGGAGCTTTCTGGGGAGAGCAATCTACTCTTTACAACATTAGCTTGAGGTGACTGTTTAATGAACCAAGCCCTTCGCATCAGTGCCATACAGAGGTTGATTTTTCCCCTACGTTTAGAAAGCTCAACTGCTGTCAGTCAGCCTCAGACATTAATACCTGGCAAAAGCTTGTTCATCCAGGATGAAACCTGTGTCTAATTCTGCTTCTTGATCTAGTCAGGCTTCTTGATCTAAAGTCAGGCAGACTTAAAATCTCAGTCTGTCAGTAATAACCAAGTATCCAAGCTACTTAATTCTCAGTAGTATGGGGAAAATGAAAAATAATAAAAGAAGAAAAACAATGAAGATGGTAAATGAAGGAACAAAGCATAGGAATGAAGTTCACTCTTTTGGGATAGATTTATATGAAAGCAGTTGTAAATCAAGGTGAATCTGAAAAGTAATTTCACTAAATCTCACATAAAAAGTTCCTTTAAGTGGAGCAGTATATAACTTAACACCAACAGTTCTGAAGAAGGCTATATATAAAACAAAAGTACATTTCAAATTGCTGCTGAAAAGGGAACTTTTAAAAATAATTTGATATTAAAGAGATACACTAAATCAACACAATGTATTGAAGTGTAACTAAGAAATAGTAAATAAAGAGATGACCAGCAAGTGAAAAATGTCATAATTTTAAATGATGTTAAAAAAAAAAAGTCTAAAATAGCTTCTGAGATAATAATACACTTGGAAAATTCATGCTGCTGGAGATGACCAAGAGCCAACTGCAACCAAGGTGCTGTGAGCTGTTTCCCATCAATTCTTCCTCACAGTATGGATTAGCAGATCCCCAGAGACAGGAAGAAGATCTTACATTGAGCTTGTGCCTGGCATCACCTATAGCAACTGCAAGGGATCAGAAGGGTGGCAGCAATTGCCATGGAGCCCAGAGAGGGGGGAGGCTCCAGGCTCAGATTCCTGTATTTACCAAGTCCTCATACGTGCCTCCTCTGCGGCGGGTCACTGTGACAGATAACCTCACCTTGGCTAAATTTGGACATCTCTATCCCACAACTGCAGTTACTCAGCAACAAACAAACCACACACCAGCCTAGAAGCAGAAATGGAAGAGTTATACCCAGTATGATTTAAACATGTCTGGGAGCTGTGCAGACAACCTGCAATTATCAAACCAAAAGTTTCAAGAGCTGCTTAAAAGACAGATGGTTTATTTTTCTAACCCTTTGGAAAGGACCAACAGCATCTTCATCCAACACCGTGCTTGGGGAAGGAGTACTTGAGTGCAAAAACGGTTCCTTAAAACATTGCTTTTCTGCTGGTCTTAGAGTTTTGTCTCCTTAAGCTCTGACAAAAGAAAAAAGTCCCCAAACCTCACTCTCTTGCAGTGAGAGGATCCCATCAAACATATTTGTATATCTGCAAATGGATTCTTACCCCAAACATCTCTGATGTTCAGGTTTTTCCACTGTTTAAAGACAAGTGGTAGGAACAAACTGACAGGAGAATGAATACACTGTTTAATCCTGTATAAGGGATGGTGAAGTGAACCTACAAAGCCAAATCCAAACATTTAGAGAGACAAGCCTGGATGCACAGGAGCAATTAGGCTTGCATACTTGGAATAACATGTTTGGGGAGGGCCTTTTTCATAACTCCTGTGAAGGATCTGTGAATCCTGTGCTACCCAGCTGTGGCAGGGAGACATGCTAGAAGAGCATACCTTGCTTAGTGCAACTGAAATGGAAACAGTCCAAGTAACCATTTACTCATCTACATAAACTTGAATCTTAAATTTAGCAGCATTTCACCTTTTGACCTAGAATTTCACATTGCCTCAACCAGCTAGAGTTGAGCCTGAACAGCTACAGAAATGTTTACAGCCATCTGCTGCAGCAGGATAGAAGAAAACCTCGCCTGCATCTAGAAACCAGTGTCTGGGGAACTGTTCAGACACAATCAGCACTGGATCCAGTTGGACTCACTGCAGACTGCCACCAAGGCCAAGGGCTGGGCAGAGAACCCCACAGCACCCCAACCTACAAACAGGGTAAATCCTCCTCCCTGCTGCCCACCACCAGGTGAAGATGTAAGTGTGAACTATGTGGAAAGATGTGCATGACAGACGTGAAAAAAAAACAAAAAAACTCTCAGGAGTTTATAAACTTAAAAATGGACTTAAAAATTCAAGCACATGATTTGAATTCTACATGATTTATTTAAATGCCAGTATCCGGCAGGCAAATAGATTTTTTTAAAAAATATTTTCAGTAGAGATGAGGACTCCAGTATAGAGTCAGCAGGTTATAAGTCTATATTTTTTCTAATAAAAATATTTTAGGATTTAAATATTCACCTTAAACCATCCACTCAGATCTGGTACAGATGCTGGCCATATCCACACTGCTTACACAGAACCGCTTAGGATGGAAAGGACCTCTGTAGTTCACCAAGTCCCACCATATGCTCAATGTATTTTTATAAATTTCTTAAAATCTATAATAAATTTCTTAAATAATAATAAATTTCTTAAAATTTCTTTAAGCAAATTTGTGGTTTCATGTACAGATTTAGGGACTAGGTCACATTCTGTAGGGTTGCTTAACATCTGTAAGTTGAAAGGCTTGCTCACTCATGAAATGTGCTGAAAAAGCAAAGGCTTGCTGCAAAGGTAGGATGGCCAGAACCAAACAATCCCCTGGACCATGGAAGCATAGCACAGCTATTCCCCTACAACCCCTCAAAGGGGCCACATTAAGACCACTAACCTGCTCATTCTCTTGGGTGAGTTGTCATAGTCCAAGTCACATCTTGCAGACTTTCAGAGCACTGGCTTAATCTCGTTTCAAAGCACTTGAGGGGAAAAACAAGAAGAAAAAGCCTGAACACCCAGAAGAAACATCTCTCACTCCAGCCCCCCAACCCTCAGGTGTTTTAAATTTCTCTGTAACAATGAGGTCTGGCAGGTGCAAGTGCTGCCTATCCCACACCACACCAGGCCCTTAGCTGGGAGTTTTGGTCTCGTGATGTTTGATGGACTTAGGTGTTTGGATCAGTGGCCAGAGTTACCCTCGCCCCAGTGAAGGCAGCAAGGCTGCAGCCCCTCCACAGCCCCCTCCTATGAAAGCAGACGGATGGGTTTAAACCACCAGCTCTGGGTGCCTCAGCCCATGCAGGCAGTCTTGCCCCAGAGCAGATGGGACAGTGCCTGCAGGAACAACTCCATTGCTAATGAAAGTGGTGGGAATGGCTGAATTGAGCTGGTATGGCTGAATCCTGCCTGCTGTGCCAGCTGTCCCGGCACCGCCTGGCACCACGGAGTCATGGCACCACGTGTACCCTGAGGCAAATCATCCCTCAGCCCAGCCTGGGCACAGCTGTCCTCTGTGTCTCTGGGGGAATGCCTGCTGCTCCTGAGGAGGTGGATGGTACCTGGGACTCTGGATTGTATTCAGGAATGGGTGTCAGGCTTTAGAAATCAGCATCCAGCCACAAAATACCGTGACCTGGCACACAGGTGTTTGTGAACCCACAGCAGGACTCGCGTACCACCTGCCTGCTCTACAAGCACAGCGAGTGCTGCTATTTCCGTCCCACTTGCAGCCTGCTGCATAAGCCAGTGGTGCTCTCATCAGCCCATGGTAAGCTTTCCTCAGGGCTCTCAAACTAAGGAGAAGGAGCAAGGGAAGGGGAAGAAAACTGTAATTTACTCAACAGCAGAGTGCTTTTCCTCTGAAATCGTTATCCTGCTGGAAACTCCCTTGGCATTCAGAAAGTATCTGTGTTTAATCCCTGATCTTGTTCAAAATGCAAAGTACCTTGCCTTGAGACTGATAATTTAATCTCCTTTGGATAATTGCTACCAACTAGACTAACAGCTGACAAAGGTCAAGTCATTGGTTATTCAAAGCAGGATTTCCCCCATTTTACAAAAAAACTTCTACTTGATCTTTGACTTGTCAGCTGCAGCGTGTGATTGCTTTCAGCACTGGTAATCACTGCTGGGGCTGCGTGCACGTGTGTGCATCTGTGTGCACACACATTTCACACACATAAATGCAAACTGGAAATGGCCTGCTCACTCAAACCTCTGTGTGATACCATAGATCACTTCCAATTAATGTTCAATAAAATTCACATCCTCCACGGCACTTTGTATACATTTGCATATATTAAATTATCCCAAGGTTTACTAAGTAGAGAAGGGAGCTTCTTAGCCTTATTTTTTTTCTTTCTCAAGGAAATTGATTTTATGTGATCATAATATTTTTGCATTTTTGTCCATCCCCTAACATTGAATCAGTCCCTAAGCAGTAAATTGACAGACAAGTAAATGACTATAGATTTCATGAAAGCAGGGAGACAGTGGGAGATGAAGAAATGAAATGGACACAGGAGAGAGATAAGATCTTTTCCATGGTGATAGAGAAATTTATGAGGAATAAACTTTCCAATTTCACTTCTTGCCAGGCTATGCTTTCATTACATGTGATATTTTAACTAACTCATAATTCTGGTTGCAATTCAGTTGCTGTATTTTAGAATCAGGAGTCATACTCATTTAAGTTTGTAAATCTGTTGCAAGGCAATATAATGTGCATAAAAGCCTAAATTGCTACAATCTTACATGTGAAGGCCCTACTCAGCCCTGAAAGTGGGTCTATGAACATGGGATAAACACAGTGCTCCTTACTGCATCTTATCAATAGAAAATCCTCAAAACAGGGCAAACTTACTTTATTTATTATTTTTAAAACTGTACAGACTGAAAAAAAAAAATTAGTTTAGAGGAGAAAATAAGCTCAGGACCTAAATGCTGCTCTGATACTCAAATCCCATCAACTTTATTTTAGCAAGGAAAGTTCTCCATCAAAGTTTGAACAATGTACAGCAAAAGTCTCCGTTTCTATGCCAGTCTTCCATGTTGGCAGGAGAAATTCAGGACTTCTCTTGCAAGCCCTTGGAGAGACACTGAGAAACTCCAGTTTCCTGGAACAATAAGAAAAATTAATCTTGGCATCGTTTTTCACATCACTGTTTTCCCCAGCACTGTCGGGAGCTTGCCAAAGCCCAGCCACAGAGATTTGAGTCTCACCTTCCCAGACCTGCAGCCTTGTGCTATCCCCAGGGCTGGTCCCTCTTGGGGAGCTGGCCACCAGACACAGACTTTCACTCCTGGTCACTGCCTTCTCTTTGTGGCCAGGATGAGACTTCTACAGTATTTCAGTGGTACAAGGCAGCTGCAGCGGGAAAGGCATAAAATCAAAGGGATAATTCACACACTGAATGTGTTATAGAAGTAAAATACCAAATAAATCACCCCTTGTCCTCTCTGAGGAGATGAGGTTAATAATTACATTACTTTTCTTGGCATGTAAGAGAAGATCCATCCTTGCTTATCTGCTCTGTGGTGACTGGGAAAGCAAAGCTGGTGTTATTGCTTGCTGGCCTCTGCCCCACCCATGCCCTGTGCATTCCCTGTGCCCCTGGAGGAACTGGGCAGCTCCAGAGACACATAACCCTTCAGGACCCATGGATCCCTCTTTCTGGGGAGGGAGCACCTTGGTCTGATGCAACAGGAAAGTGCTTCTATTGTGTAGGAGAATAATTTATAAACAGCATCTCAGCCTGAGTGTTTTAATCACGGGAATGTGTGTAATTAGCAGTCTTTCACCCATGATCAATACATGGACACTATTAGGGCATAATGCAAGAGCTTCTTAGAGCTCTGGGTGAATGCTGCACAGCACATCCCAGATCTTCAGTATTGCTACTGCTGCCTCTACAGAAAAATGTTGCTGTATACAAGCTGCACACACAGAAGAGTAGGAAAAGGCAGATCCATCACACAACTTCAAGCCTGGAAAATCGTGTTTGTGTGGTTGGTTGAGGTGTGCTGCGTAGCTCTACACTGACCTACAGCATTGCTATTACTTTATGGAGGACACAGAGGAGGGAAAATATTTTCATCTTAATTACAGTCCTGATGTTTATTGCAGAACCATTTAGTGACTGTAAAAGCCAGCTTGACAAACACTTACTGTTCACTGGATTGAAGGACTGGGGAGACAGAAGAGCGAAGAATTAGGCCCAGGGGAATTGCAGGAGGAGACAAAACGCAGCAGCTATTTCTATGTGGTGGGAAGATGAGAGGCTCGGTGGGGGCAGGTTGATGTCTCTGTGTGTACCAAGCAAAGCCAGGCAAAAGAATGGCTCATTTCAGTTGCCTGTTGAAATTGCTGAGAGTAAGAGAAATTTGTCAGTCACCTTCCTGTAGTTCTGTGTCTTTGTTGGAGCACAGTTTGAGAGATGAGAGAAAAATTAAAGTAATGACACAATAATTTGCAAAATTCTTCAGCAGAGGTGAAGCAAGAGAACAGTAGGAAAAGAGACAGCAGGCTAAATGAGATGTGCACCATCATCGGTGGAAACAGATGCATTCAGATTACAGAAGTTTACACGTCTGATTTTTCAGTTAAAAAACAATAAGGCAGTACTTCTTATTTGTTCAAGGCTGATAGAAATAGTTTAAACTATATGAAATACTCTGGTGAATTGAAAAACGTGTGTGTAAACCTTGAAAATTTGAAATGAGTCTCTTTTTAAAATATTTTAAATTTAAAAAGTACATTTCAAAACCATTCACTGTAGGATAAAACACAGTTATATCTCAAATACTGAAATGCAAAGGTAAATTGAAGTTTTGGCTGACATTTTCAGACTGAAATAAAAATACAAAAGGGTAAAATATGTGTATCTTTTTCCTGTTTGCCTAGTCTTGTAAGAAAGCTGGCTTGAACACACCCTAGATATTACCTAAAATCTTTTACTACGGCCCTGTAATCACCTATAGCCTGATCCAAAGCCTATTGATCCCTTTGGAGCCCTTCCCTTGACACCCACCCAGCCCTGCTGGATCAGGGGAAGAAAGGAAGGTGGGACTACAGACAAGATGCTTAAAGATAAAATCAATGGCAAGGTTACCAGGAATGAGGTCTTTTGTTTGAACACAGAGCTTGTTGGCAGGGATAGACATGTCACAACTCATGGTCTTTCATCCTTCTGCTTAGATTTTGTCCCAAATCCCTTTTCAGTTCTTGATCAGTGCTTTGATAAAATGTATAGGCTTGATAAAAGACTTACGTCAATTTTATCCTATTGATCCAAGACTCTAAGATAAGATAAAAAACATATTGTTCTTGAAAGATGGGAATGATTCCTTTCCAAGAGATTCCTCAGTCACTGCTGGTAGGTAAGAGGTCTTCATTATCAAAGGCATGTAAGAAGCACCGCTGCTTGCACAGGATGTGTCAAATATTTGAGGGGGTTTTATTTAGAGAAAATGTGTGACTCAAGCAAAAGCATCTGGCAGACAGGACAAAACATTTCAGAAATTTATTTTTCAAGATGAAAAATGGAAATAAATAGATCTTCAAATGTTCATTTCAGAACAGGGGAGGATTTATTTTCTCAGCTTTTTTATGTTTCCCACAGGGAAATTATAGGAAATGTTTGGATTTCTATCACTTTTTGAATACTCTTAAAAACATTTTCCTGCCTGACATTAATAGACAAATAATCGAACAAGATAAAAAAAAAAAACCCTAAAATTCACAATGAACCCAAATGTCAGGACTCAAGCACTTAGACTTTAATTTTTACATCAAAATCAGGAAGGATTAAAATATCCATGGTATAGCAAAACCCAATCCTTTTCCTCAGAAAAGGTGTGACGAGAGTTCCCATCAACAGCAGTGGGCAGGAGGACACGGGGGTGAGGGCAGCTCTCTGGAGGAACACAGCTCAGGGCAGGGACTCCGGATGATGCTCCATCCTGCTGCATGGCCACCTCCAGACACCCAGTGAGCCCTCAACACAGGAAACCTGAACAAAGGAAAAGCAACTTTCACTGAGCTCAGCAGTCTGGGAAGGGTCTTGGTGCAGACCTGTTCTGCCCTCTTTACATCCTCAAAGTCTGGTAAAAAGAAAAGTCAAGAAGATCCGCCATCCCCTGCCATGCTTGGTGAGACCTTATCGCCTCCTGCCACTCTCAGCAGAGGCAGATTTTTACCCAGAAATATTATGGAACTTTAATTTGAGAGCAACCCCCAGTGAGAGTAAGAGAAAAGTGAGTCCTGAAGCACTGCTGTTCAGTGATCAGAAGTACAGAAAATTTTAAAAGAAAAGCCATCTCTTGGGTTGTTCAATGAATGTAATCCACATACTTCATCCTTCAGCTCTGAAGGCCACAGAAGGGTTCTTTCTGCCTTGTTATGGAGTAGCTGCAATGCTTCTGCTTTCCATCACTGAAAACCTGAATTTACAGGTTCCTGCTATTTATAGTCCCTAAAATACTTGACCAACTGTTCATTTTGCAAGCAATGCCGTCATACAAAGCTTAATTTGCTGAATATGATGTTTCCTTTCCTTTGTCATATTGAATTACCAGCAATTATGGCTTTAGCCTAATGTAATATGAAACTAAGGCCACATAATAATTTACCCAATGAGCTGCAGCAACACTGTATGAGCTGTATCTGCAGTCCTGCATCCAAAGTTTAAGTCAGTCTGGGACTTCCTAAAAACATAAGTTACAAAAAGATACTATATGTGATGGAAAAGCGGATTTAAAGGTCACAATTTTCATATGCAGCTAAAAAAAGGGAGTATGAAAAATGTAAGTAAAGGGAGTATGAAAAATGTAAGCCAATGGGAATACAAGTAAGTAAGCCAAACTTCAGCTCGTTGTGAGTGGCACCTCTTAATTCCAGCCTAATATTATAGAGATATTTCCTTAGGAGATTCTCAAAAATACTGAATAAAACCTTGAAATCTTTCTGAATGAGGGACTCCAAACATCTGGTATCCCATTTGAAATACCACTTGTTTTTCCAATCACTGAGTGGGGAAAAAAAAAAAAGATAAATGTTCACAATAAATACCCTAAGTGAAGAGTCACTCAGCATTTTTCTGTCTCTGGTATTTTCCCCCACCCTTTTATTTACTACCAACCAAAAATTTTTCAGAACAATGTAAGGGAGGAAGAAGATCCACAGAACCTGTGGCTGCAGCATCTCCAGAGCTGGCCCAGGACCCGTGGTGGTACACAGCCTCCACAAGACCCAAAGAGCCTGGCAGGCTGCTAATGGAAGCACTGCTTAAGTTGCTATATCATGGGGGTGAATTATTATTTCTATCTTGAAAATAGCTTGCACTTTGGCTTAATGTTCTCTGACAGAGTGACAGCCCATATTCCAGTTCTGGCAAGCTTCTAAAGGCCCAGAAGGTTGACTGAGGACATGAATTTTTAAATACCTACACAAACTTCTTCCAAAAGCAGAGGGCTCTAAGCACATTCCAGTTTCTTCCAAAGTCAAAAGTATCCCATGAGCGACCTCTCACACCAAATTCCCTTAAATTTGGGCCAGATTTCCAAAGTGCAAAGACTCAAAAATAAATGATGGCAGTTAAACATTATAGTTTTGAGCCTTTTTTCAAGTTTGGGTAAAGATTTAGAATTTCTTGCCCCTTCATTCTGCCTTACTCAGGTAACAGAGAGCACATTGCTGCAGTGAAAGAAAAAGGCAAATAAAAAAAGATGTTTCTGTTGTCACTGTACAGAAGGGAATTAATGTCACAAATGCTTGTTCCCGTTTTGCACAGACACTGATTTGATACTTGAGTGAACATTGTGAACTTGAGTTTTTCAGGACTGAAGCAACTCACTTTCTCAGCAAGATGTGCCAGGAAGCCCAATTACAAAAGGACAAATGATTCATTTAACAGGAGTTTTCATCATGTTGCCACACTGCCTGACCTCCAAATGTGCCAAGATGCTACAATATCATTTAAATTGGGAAAGAATGCCCCTGTATTATCAGGCACGAGATTCACGAGGGTCCCATTATAGCTGTATTGTCAAAAACCCCCAACCAATACATAAAATAACATAAGTACCCCATACATAAAATAACAGTCTAACTTGAGCAGCTGTTATAGTCAATCATATAAACACAACATTTAAAGACAAAGTACACGCTCATATGAAAAATTATTATACTTCATAAGGAAAAAATTGGGTTCAAAAATCAAGATTAAAACCTTGCTGATGCTGATAGCTGTGTGCATGCAAGAGTGGTGGGATTTAGAAGGGAGAATGCTATCACCCATTCTAGGTCCACATTACCACAGCCCTCCAAACTGAAGTAGGTTTTTGCTGTGTTAAATTTAACTTAATCATGTTCTCCCCTCACTGCAGGATCGCTCCTGCTGGAAAGGATGGCCCTGCCCACTCCTTCTCCCTTCCTTCTCCTGACAGCATCTCCCATTTTCTCTCTGCTGCACCTCTCTCGCTGCAGTCTGTCTGGTGCTCTTTTCCATAAACCACTGCCTCTCAGAAGCAGTAAACTGTCAGCCAGAAGAAAGAAGAAGTATTTACTATTACATTTTTTTCCCCAAGGTTAGCTTTCCTCGGGAGAGTGAAATAAATCTCACTGAGGCAGTGAACTCCAGCTCCATCCCTTACCATTTCACTGCTGCTCTTGGGTGACTGGCTTTGTTTCTCAGCTGCTGTGTCACTGGATGAGATTTGTGCACTAGAACCATTTGTTGTGGCCTGCCTTTCGTTTCTTTTCCCATTTAAATTAAATATTAACGAATCCCAGGGGTGCTACCAGTTTTAAACAAAGCCTAAAGACTAAGAAAAGCCAGACCTGCAGCAAAGATATTTTTTACCTGATTAGCTACAACATCTGGAAATAAAAGGATTCTCAGCTGAATAATTCAACCTCTTCCTCACCTGTAACAGTAGAAGAACAAACCTTGCTCCTGTCTAAGGAGCTATGCACTGGGTCACCTCAGCTATGCACTGGCCAGTGCAAAAGCTATAGCTTGGTTTTACAGTCAGCAAAGTATCTAACAATTCCCATAGGGCAGGCTGGCAGGATCGGGATGCTTCTTATCTCACGAGGAACAAAGGAAGGAAGGACCTTTTTTCTCAAGACGGTTAATCAGTATTGATCACAGGGACTTTATGCAAAGATGCTCGGGCAGGGAGCAAGAACAAAGAGTAGGCAGCACCCTCACATCCTGCCTTAAATCAGACAGAAAAGCTTGGAGTTCCCACCCCCCATTTCTCTCCAGGCCAACTGGAGTTTGGACTCCAGACTGTTCCCCTTTGCCCCAGGAGGAGGAATGGCAGGAGAGGGGCTGTCAGCAGGCAGCAGCTCTGTCTCCTGCTCCCTTTGGGCTTTTGGCACCAGCCCCACCGTGCTTTAATGCCTGACACGTCCGCAGGACCGAGCTCACCATTCAACCACAAATGCTGGGATGGTATTTAATTTCCACTGAAGCCTTCAAAATGAAGTTTTAAATCCTCCCAGCCAAGAGGACCTTGTCCTTAGGCAATCCTTTAACAACATTGACAATCCTGAAGCACTTTTCATCTTATCCTCTCAGAGCATCTCACACATTTGTGTTTAACAGTGTATCTAAGACCAGAAAAAATTCCCATATTCCCTTTTTGCTGTGGCAGCAAGCAAGAACAAAAGGGTAAATGCATTGCTTAAGGCTGTACAACAAGTCCTCACCAGCTGAGAATCAATCACCACTTCTCACTTGGCTTTATAACCAAATCTCCTGCCTCAACACAGCAAAGATAGGTGACTATCTCACCTCAGTGAGAAAAAGTCGCCACCATGTCACTGTTTTCCTTCTTTTCAAGCCAGCAGTACTTGCTTGCTTGCTTGCTGCATCATGTGATGAGCCTGCTCTACATCATCCCAGGACATGAAAAAGATGATTAGTTTAGTGCTCAGTTACCTAAGGTTGCTATGCTGGCCATACAGACAGACAGCATCCCCATCTCCTGCTGCTAGTGGCACAGACCTCTGCACCACAGCCTCTATAAAATACACACAACAGCCTAATAAAACACAGGCGTAGCTGTAAGCAGACACAAAGAAACATATCTGTAAAACGGAGCAAGCTTGATTTGTACCAATAAAAGCCACAGGATGCTGCGTTTACAGGGAAAGGTACACATGTACTTGATAGCACTGAATGGGAAGGGATGCCTGCAGATGTGACCTTACAAATAGGCTGGAGTAATCACTTGTCTGTAAGGCACATGCATCTTTAGATATGAGATTTAAAAAGTCCCAATGTGTCTCTTTCTATATTCTGTTTTTTTCTCCCTGCTCTTACCATAATGCCTTATAAGAAGTCTTCATAAATCTCCACCTTTCTGCTGCCTTCTTTCCTCCCACTGCCCTTTTTATAACCAGACTCGCAGGTCTTTATTATTCTTTGTGGCATTTCTAACACCAGTTTCTGCAGAATGACCTCAGACTTTGCTATTTTTAAGTAAGTGTAGATGTGATTATCACTTAACCTCCTGATCGTGAGCCATATTTTGACCACCTTGTGCTATGCCACTGGGACAAACCACCCCCACACTTGGTGCCTGCAGCTCCTTCAGAGCCTCTCTGGTCTCAGACACCTTGGGTTTCAGTAACACCTAACAGCGTCCTTAGGTCTGCAGGAGTGGTAATGTCACTTTTGTGGTGCCTTCTCTCCCTTCACTTCTGGCTAGAGATACAGATATGTTCTTTCATATATCCTTTAATGTTCATTCCTGCTCGCTTTTAAATGCAAAAAGTCAAAATATAAATATGGTTTTTAATCTCATTATTGAAAAGGTTTTGGTTAGGATAATGGTCTATATTTCCATAGAAATGCAGCCAACTACAGAATATGAATCTGTTTAGTATTTTCTCAGCTTGGCTCTCGATTTCATTTAGCAGGGTATTTTCAAACCTCTATTAGCTGTAAACAACACAAGCAGGCTGATAAAGTGCTGCAGACCCATAGTACCCCAGGCAGTAAGTGGGAGTGGGTGTGTCAGCCACTGCTTCAGAGTATTCCCAAAGGGTGAAGGACTCAATATGATGGCTATCATCCCTTTAATCTGCATATTGCAGACTCAGGGTAAATGTTGCCAGGGAGGCTGTGGATGCAATCCTGCTTTGCCAATAGCTGAGTGAAGGAAGGTATTCACCACCACTCCCCTGATCCCGGATTTCGGTGGGGTCCCACCACCGGCCTCTGTGGCCTGTGTTTGTGGAGCAGGTCCGAACATGGGCCCACGGTGCTTCACTCATTACCTCCCTGCACTGTCGGGTCACCTGGATGTGCAGACTTTACTGGCATCGCGTTTCTGTCACACTGGAGCACATTGTGTTTATGCTGGGTTTGGCTCTCCGTCAGCTCCTGCAGGCAATGCACCGTGCAGCAAAAAGCCTGCCCGCCACCCCTCGGAGAAAGCTCTGGAAGAAGGCTGAGCTGGCAGCACCAAGAGGCACCAGCCCAGGGCCCTGCACCACGACTCTGCCGGTGTTTGGCCCAGCACCAGCTGTTCCAAAACCAGATGAGCCTCCTGATGAGGCTGCGGCAGGAGGCCTCTGCTGCACCACCTTTGGAGAGAAGCAGGCAGAGGGGAGCCTGGAGCTGGCCAGCCTTGGCAAACCTCCCACCAGGAAGGGCACTGGGGGATGCATCCTCCCTCCTTTAGATTTTAGTCCCTGCTCTACGTGCATGTGTGTGCGTGTGGATAAAGGCAGAAAAGGCACAGCAACAGCAGGGAAGAAGGCAGGATGGTGCTCAGTCCTTACGTGAATCCTTATCCAGCAGTGTTTGGAAGTGACTCCCCTGGACACAGAGTTTAAAGAAAGTTTTTACACAGAATATTTCGTCTGCAATGGTGGGTGGCTGAGATACAGGCTGAGGGAAACAAGGAAATCCTCTTGTCTCTAGTACAGATGGTGAAGAATGCTGCCATAAACCAAATCCAGATGGGCTGAATGATGAGTAAACGCCAGCTTTACCTCTTATCTCTCCAGCTTTGTGTTTCACCATCATGCTAAGTGGCCCCTACCCTTACAAGTAGCCTAATGATTACTTTCTCCAAAGGGTTTAGGTGTGATTCAGAAACAGAAAGGTGACTCCTCACATCAGATTGAGTTACTGGTCTGAGTCTCTCACACACACTCTCACACTAGGGCCACTGACACCCCACCAGAACCTGTATGTGCCCACTGCCCCTGCAGATAAAATGCTGCCACTGACAAGCATGATAATGCCTGGAAATTGTTTTCCTCTCAGAATCGCATTTTACTTTTTATTTATATAAAAGTATATGTCACTTTGGAATGCTAGAAGTGCAATGCTTTCATGTAGAAATGTTAGACATCTCCACTACATGCATTAAAAAGCAGTTTCATGTCAAAGCCAAGCAGGTTGTGCAGAGAACCATTAAGTGGCACCATTTCATGTGCGGATGGTTTAGTCAAGAGCAAGAAATTGGAGCTGTCAGTAGGGATGAGCTGCTGGCACCCAGCAGAACCAGGGCCACAGCTGCAGTGTGGTGGGGGGAGGAGAGGAGTATTTGCCACCCATTTATCTCTGCTAATTTAGTCCCCATGATGAATGCAGAATGAGGGGGGGAAAAAAAAGAGATCTTTGAATCAGGACAACACCTTGGCTTCCAGAGCATAGAAGGTAGAAACATTTCAGCATAGCTCATATCTGTGAAACCTTTCAAAGCTGTGAACAAGATGCTAAATAGATTTAATAGCATTGCCCCCTCAGGATGCAATAACTTATCTGCTTACAGGTTTTATTACTCACACTGCTGAGAGGCCAGTCCCTTCTGTGACAGCACTGTTGCCCTGCTAAGAGCCCAACATGCCCCCAGGAAAAAGGGAGGCACATCCTCACAGTACCTGTGTAGACCCTCCCTCTGCTAGCAGACCTGGAGTCTGCCCGGACAAGCCCACTTATCCCCAGAGGCTGCTCCTGCCAGTGTCTGGACTCAGGGCTTTGTCACTGGAAGTCTCCGATGGCCACCATACCTGTGGATGTGGCCCTCCTGTCCCTGAGCAGAGGAATCTGTTATCTTCCCATCAGCAACAGATCCACAGCAGCTAAGGCATCCACATGTGGATGTCATGGAGCTGCCAGAAATTGATGCCTCTGTGGCATAAGGTCATGCAGCCACAACTCTGCTTGGGGATATTGCACTCTATGGCAGAACAAGCCAAGTACACAGTTAATTATCAGCAACATTTTCCAGCTACTTTATTTGAAAAATGTTAACTACACCTTCTCTCTCACGTGCATGCACACGCACACATGTGCATATACACTCCCATGTTCTTTCCAGAAGAGGGGAGAAAATAGGCCAGGCAACATGAATAATGAAAATGATGGCACTCCCTGGGGCCATAGTCTCATACATCTGTGATCCTTGAAGCTCCATTATAAAAGTATCACCTTCTGAATTCAGACATGTTGAAACCCTTTTTAATTGAACTGCAGATTTATGTTTAAATCAAATGTCAGTGCTCTTTCAATTGTGAAAATAGTGTTGTGTCATTAGGCTGGACTATCATTTCCCAGTCTGGGGGATCCCTGTGTCATCTACAGGGCAGATTGCTGATTCTGCAGCACTCTCCTGGTACTCTCTCCTCTGCTATGCTGTGGCCCAGAAACCCTCTCTGCTGCCAAAAGGAGACCAAAGAGACCAGGAGGCAGACACGCCACATGGCCCCTACTCTAGATGAACAAAAATTCAGCTGAAGAATTATTTTATAAAGCTTCTTCTTTTTCTCATTTCCAGTGGGGAGTATTGGCTGGCGTGGCAGCAGGGTTGCTCTGAGGTCAAGACGGAGAGATCAAAGGCAGGCACTTTGGTCTGCAGCGCCAGGGTCTTTGGGACGCTGCCAGGAGCAGGGCAGGCCCTTGGGAAAGCTCCCGTGGGAGAACAAGGGTGTGCTTGCCTTCCCCCCTCCTCTTAGACGCTGTACCAAATGGGCTGTCCCTTTCCACCACTTGGTTGCAGTGAGAAGGGAGGAGGGAAGGGAATGTCACACGGGAATTTCACGTTTTTCCCGTAGTAGGGAATTAACCTTGCTTATTTGCATGATAAAGAGTGAGATTTCATTTCTTTAATGTGGTAGGCAGTACTTGCAGCTGCTGGGAGGGACACAGCTCCTCTGAGCTGGGCCACCTTCGTTCGTCCTGGGCATTGCTGCAGGGAACACTGTGATGGCTGCAACAGCTGTGTGCAAAGAGCAGGAGCAGCAATGCATCACAAGGATAAGGCAACAAATGTGTATGTCTCACTTTGGGAACGAACTGCATCCAGCCTGGAGAGACCAGGCTCCTCCTCTCTAAGAGTTCATGCTGTCTAGTGATGCTCTTAAGGGGAGAGTGAATATGGTTCTGATGTCTCAGCAGTGACACAGCTATGAGTGAGCTAAAATCACATGCTAAATCAATTTAAGTAGATCAATGTTAAATTGTGTGAGCACATGCACAGGACTCCTCCATATACTGATATGCTTCCAACTGGAGTGCTTTGCCAGGACAGGAATGTTTTAAATCCTTGGCAGCTTCGCTCCCAAAGCTGCTTTAGCTTTGAACGTTTTCTTAAATCGTGCATGCCATTGTGGGTAAAACAACCAGCCCTTCCCCAGGATGAAGAAACTACCCCAGTAAATATGATAATCTGGCAGCGTGGCTGATCTGCGTGAGATGCTTCTGCCGACACAGGGATGTTGATGTGGGTTCACAGCTCCTCACACCCCTTGGCTGCCACAGCCATCATCCCCCATGTCTGCAGGGCAGATGTAGCTTTCTCAGGGCCAGATACAGCTGAAAGTGAGTGCTGCTCCTTTATCAGTTCCAGGGGCAAAGCACGTGGTAAGAGGGCCGAGGGCAGTGGCAGCTCCCTTCACCTTCTCTCGGGTCAGTAAATCCCGATCTGGGCGCTGTATCTGCGCTGCCAGAGTAGGGCAGTGCCAGGGACAGAGTTTGCAGGTGTAGAGGAGTGTTGGGGTAGCACAGCCACCACCAGGAGCACATCACGGTGTGCCTGCTCACATCTGCAAGAAAGCTTGTATGAAAATGGGTATATTAGCAAAAGGGAAATCAAGACCCACTAACCAAAGCAGTTATATTGTTAGGACACCCATGTGAAAGCAGATGAGAGCGATTTCTTCCACTTCAGCTTAAATCAACATCTACCTGAACCTGTCCAAATCAAGTAAGTCCGTTTCAAAGGAGGGATCATAACAATTTTGCTCTGGCTTAATTAAGTAGTTTCAGGTCAAACTGACAATTGAATCAGTGCCAGATGTAAGATAGGCATGAGAATATTATAACCATAAACACGTAAGAAACAGAAGTAAATATTTTATCTTGTCAATACGGGTCATAAAACAATTACCAGAGCTGAAGTGAAACATTTAACTGCAAATAGCATTATAATTTAAAAAATCATGTAGCTCTGAAGAGGAGCTTATATGATGAAAGACCGGCTTAGACTTATGAAATTGTACTTATGTCCTTCAACCCACAGTTTACTTAAACTCTTAAATCTGTCATGGCTATATCATAAAAACCACTACACACCATACAAGAGTGTAACAATGTATGTAGAATAATAGCATAAGAGTTAATATTTATCTGGGCAAGCTAATAAAAGTAAACTAACCCACAGGCAGATACTTATAATATGGAAAGACAGGGCTGAAGGATATTTGCAAGATCATATAATAATCCTCCTCATACATCTCAAAGTGTTGCCTGAAACTAGCTGTAGAAACACTCTACACTGCCTCCTTCTGCCCCTATACTTGTCCCTCTGTTCACCTTTTCAGACGATATTTTTTTCTAGTTTATTTTTTTGTGAACCACAGGTGATTATTTTCAAGTTTGTGCAAAAGCTCTCTCAGACCAAGATGTAAGACCTAACATTTCCAGCTTCACAAGATCATCATGCTTTGCCTGGAATGCCAGATTGATCTCATGTAATTAATATTTCAGATACCTTCAAATATCTTCCCTGATTTGGTTAAACTATTGACACATGTAATGCTTTTCTGCATTTCTGGATTGCAGCAGTACATTCCTGAGTAGAGAAGGTGCCAGATTAAAGACTCTGTTAAAAAGCTTTATGTTATTGGACTATTAAAAGTGAATTAAGCTGTTTAATTTCTATTCAAACAGTTTAATTGCTATTTCATAATACTCTGCATTTACTTTTTGTGCTTTGCCTAGATTCTGTAAACAGACATCAGGTAAACTTTTATTTGTAGCTGAACTTTTTGCAGTCCCTGCCAATTCTGGCTCTCTTGTCCCGACAGAGTATTTCAGTGTGAGCATTTGCAAGCACAACAACACCTGTTGAAACCTAAACAAACAGAACTAAATTAAGCAAACAAACAAACAAACAAAAAACCCCAAAAACTCCAAACCTTTGGGCTTTGGGCTTTTTTGTAATCATACTGATATTGAATTTTATGTGGCACTCCTTTACCATGTTTGTTTATACAAGACAGAAAAATGAGTAGGAAAATATCCAGAAACTAATGGTCACTCAAGAAAAATTACACAGAACCATATTTATTCTGTGCATGCAGAGTTCAATTTTCCACTTTGGTTTCTGTAACAATTGGG